AGCGGCCGAGCGGTAAAGTCGCTGAACATTGGTAGTTCGGTCCGGGGTTCGAATCCCGACGAACGAGCTGGCTGCATGGGCGTTTTCTTTGTTTTCCCCATGTGTAACATGTATACTAGCCAGTTTCCCTTAGAAAGTCTTCCAATGGTTCTCTTAAAATAGCGTTACTTGTTAATTAGAGCTAAGGGATGATTCAAGTCGAAAAAAATTGAGTGTTGATATTATTTCAACAGGTAATAAATACTTTGTTAGTGAAAATAGAAAAGCTTGTTACGACTAAATAGCTGTTTTTCTTTTTCTCTGTTGAATCTCTTTCCTTTGACTTTTTAGGCTATTAAGGATGTTAGTTGTATGAGTATCAAGAATTAGGGTTTTAGCTAACAAAGCGATGTTCTCTATCATATTAAATCTCCATTATGAAAGTTTTATTTTCTCAAAAAATTTTGTGAATTTTTATTTCGGAAGTTTCTTCCATTATGTACCGAATAGTAAATATGCGAATTTAATATTGATATATTTTACATACATATGCGATTTGGTATTTATAATTTTTTATAAAAATTTAGAGTATAAATATGAATTAATTACTTGATATCGATTATTATGATTATTATGAGTATTATGGTTGTCTGAAACTAAGAAAATTAGATGAGATTATATATTGAAATAACTGGTAATGAAATTGGCTAAGAAAAATTAAATTTTGTACAAAGAAAAGCGCAAGAAATATATTACAAATGTATTGTAGATAAAATAGAAATAGGTAAGAAAATATGTTACAAATGTTATGTATTGTGCAAAGAAACTATGTCACATTTAAAATAATGAAATATATATAATGTAAGACGCCGTATTTTTCATTTAGTTGTTATTGCTGTTTTATATTTATTTAACGGTATGGAATTGAACAAAATGTCTACAGTCTTTTTTGTTGAAAATTCTATACAATTTATGTACTGTTATCTAAGACTCTATTTTATAATCCTTTTACGAGTAGTAAAAATAAATTCAAAGCATTCAGTTCAGAGTATTTGAACTGAATGGAATAGTAAAAAAAAAACATTGTAAGCTTCTTTGAGTGTCATTTATCTAATTTATTGAATATCGGCTTTATTTAAATGCTGCCAGATCAATTTTCTGGAATAATTTATATCAAATAAGACTAATTGTGTATTTAAATTAATTACTTTGTTAATATCGAATAAAATTTGTCGAATTTTGCAAGTAGTATGCTATCGCAAATTATCTTGCTATCGTTAGCGATACAAATGAAATAAATTTTAAAAATGGGGATAACATATTAAAAAACTGCATATTATATAGAAATTTATTATATAATCTTCAGGTGAAATACGTATCTGAGCTAGAATGGATACATCGAGCCATAAAAATTTATTTGGCATGGACCGAAAACTAAACTATATATATCGTAATTCCATGGCGTCTGAGTCACTAATCTGTAATCAACCAAACTAAATTTCGAGCTTTTCCATGCTTTAAATTCGAAAACGCATTGGACATTTTTCATTATGCAAGAAATAATGTTAATAGAAGCAACAACGCGTAACATTTTTTTTCTTCTCTTGATAATGGTTTTCTCACAATCCTTCGTGATTTAACATTAAATGAAACTACTGAACAATCTTAAGTAAGATTAGTCATTTGATCTTTCGAGATAAAAACATGAGAATTGTATGAAAAGAGTTTCTGAAGATTAAACTCTAGCTTATGTTAGTTTTGAAAGGTAAATGAAAACTGCATGTTGTGCAAACCTATTCTTACGTGCATTTCGAATGTGCCTGAAGCCTGTATTGACTAAAGAAATTCCGAAGATATTTAAGTTCTTTTTAATTGATTTTGTTAACTTTTAGCAACAAAGTATAAGGGTTTTTTTTTTTTTTTTTTTTCCAGATAAAAAATTTTTTTATTTATAATTTAATAAGAATCATAGAATTTGTTAAATATTCCGAAAATTATACTAGTTTATCTTGACTTGATTAGCTGATAAACGGATGCATGCTATTTTGTTAGCAATTAGTAAAGCTATGTTAAGAATTTTATTTTTTCATTTATTGTAAATTTAAATTTTTGTATTACCGTTTGCAGTATGTTGCTGTAGATGTCATAAAAAGTGAATAGGCGTGTAGTTCGTTTCTTTTAAAGCAGTAGGAAAGGTGAAGGTCTTTTCTCCTGTTTATTCTGTGCTTTCGAATTCAAATAATTGTAATAAGATAAATGCCAATGTTTTACATTTCTGTGACTAGAAGTATTTACTTGTTTAACTTCGGTCAGATTAAGAATTAACATATTTATCTTTCTGCTTCTTTATGGCTAACGAACGAGTGCCGAACCTAATGCATTTTTAATTACATTAGATCCTATCTTCCAGAATTCCAAATATATGTGTAAGCTATGCGTAGAATCAGCGGAAAGAAGATGTATAACTAACTGTGTTTAAAATCTGTTATTTTTTTACGACTTACAAGTCGATGTAAATTCTGGAAACGCGAGTCACTGGTTAAAATGGATGGCCTCAGAGTCATTTCTGTGAGGTAATGCTGCTAGTTAAGCCTTTTTCACGTTCCTTCGTGCTGGATTTAGCTACTTGGCTACACCTACTGCTTGGCTTGCTTTCTCTGGCCGTTTTTCTGGCAATAGATTTTTTAGTCTACCCACTGTCTGAGGAGGAGAACCACGTACAGTGTCTCTTATTTTTTCCTTTTCGACCTTCACTTCATCCCACCCCCAGTGCACGAAGGAGGGGAGGGGAAAAAAAAAACGAGTTTGATTACTGCAGGATCAATGTATTCGTTTAAGTGCAAAGCATGTAATAATCGGTATTGTAATTTCAAAAGTAAATTTACAGATTTACAATAAATTAATAGTTTCAATTATTCAGAAATAACTCCCCTGAAGTAATATTCCTCCCCCCACACACATACACTAGTTTACTCTCTGCTTGGCTGCTTAACTTTTGATTACTTTAATATATATTTTACAATTTAAAATAGTTACACCCTTACGATATCGGGATCTGCAAGTTAGGATTTTTTGCTGTCCATAATCAAAATAATAGCAATAATAGAAGAATAATTTAGTATTTAAAAAAAGAAAGAAGAAATGAAGTGCAATATAATATGTTGGTTACATAACCATGTGTCATTTCTATTATCCCTGCAAATAACTTCTGCCTGTTGTTGAACTGTTTCCGCAGACTGTTGATATGGTGGGTTATACTCATATTAACTTATAACCCTTAAAACACTGCCGTCAAAATGTTAAAATTTTTTAATGCTGCATATGTAGAAAAGAATGCGCATGAATTCTTTTGTTGTGAGCAGGTTATTACTAGCATTAGAATATGTAAATACTGAAAAACTTCTGCCAATCGGCAAGTTTTCCAGCAATATGAAAACAAAATTTCTTTGGCTGAAATTTCATCCATGATAGTTTCCTAAATATTAACGGAACTTTGCTCGTATTTGATTAATATGACTATTATAAAAATTTGTATTTATGTATGTGAAGTGTATTCACCTTTTTAACTCTTTGGTTGCATTTTAGGTCAGCGATGGCTGGAAGAATCAGCATTCCGCATGTTACTAATAATGCATCATCCTACGTTACTACTGGTGCTATACGCTTCTGCTATCTTCAGGATAGCAGGTAAGTCGAATTTCTTCTGATATCATTGAGTGAAATTTATATGCTTCGCCAGATATTCCACTTAATCAAAACCGATGTATTTTATAAGCAACTGATGTGTTGTAAATATCCAGGTAAGTTGATCAAAGTGATTTTGTGAGCTGGGCTTTGAATAATTTGGATGTCGCCAAAATACGAATCAAATTTTATTTCTGGTAATTCAAATATTTCAGTTTTTATTCGTTTACCGCATTTACTCTCGTAATTCACTCTGTTTTATCATAATTTCGCAGTCTAAAAGAATGACTCTGGGTGAGATGATTATGACATGTTTCATAAATTTAGTATAAAAGATTTATTCTTTTTATTGTTATTCAAATGACTGCAGAGGCTTCTCATATTATTAAAATGTAGCATGGATAAATATAAGCTTCATATGAAATAATCAAATGTCAACGTAAGTGTACCTATCAATCCATGCAATAAATTATTTAAATGTTAAATACATGAAGTATTTCAGAGTTTGCGTGTTTAAATTTAGTGGTTAAAAATTTAATCACGTGAATTATTCGAGTAAATAGTATTTATTCACCAGATTTTTTCTTTCATTGAAGTGGGAAATGTCCATATTTTGCTCATAGCAATTTCGTTGCTTGTTATGTGTTTTCATAATTTGCTATTGCATTAGGGTATTTTTGACTTGAAAAATACCCTAATGCAATAAAAAAAAAAATGCGACCGAATACCTTCATTTTCAGAAAAAAATGCGACCGAATACTTTCATTTTCAGACATTTTTAGTTCGTAATCAAGACTGAGATAAATTTTTTGTCCTTTTTTGCCCTTTAACCGTAAATTTATTGAGGTTAAAGTGGGGATTTTTTAAGTATATGTGAGGCAGTAAGGAAGGGGCCATAATCATATGTGCAGTTTCTTTCCGTTAACATGCCAATAAAAAAGAAGAGGAGGAAGGGAAGGTGAAGAAAATCTCTGTCGAATGTTGTCGCTCGTCTCAGGCCTACACATTAATTACCTACCATCGGTTGGAGATAGGGGGGCGAAGGAAAATCCCTCACGTCTGAGACTGAACATATAAAAGAAACAGACTACTAGAAGATTCATATCTGAAGGGGATTGAAAAAGGGGAATGAAAATGTTATAAAGCGCGCCGGCACGCGTGTACCACGCGAAGCCTTTTTTTTTTTTTTTCCCTCCTCGCTCGATTTTTTTCTCCCTCTTGCCTATATTCTTTTACTTCGTCTTTGCCCTCCCTCTTTCACCCCTGTACTTCATTCCCTAATGTTGGGCTTGCCAGCTGTCGCGAGAAAGTCAGTCAGGTAGGCTGATGATGATGATGATGATGATGATGGCCATATGGACTTCGGAGGTCTTACCCGTTTTCCTCCTGTTCTGTTGTCGGGTTGCTCGGAAAATAGGTCCAATTTTATAACCAGTCCTGAGACCATTTGGCCGCCAGTTTGATTTTTATGGCATGAGGATAATTAATACTAGCGCACGCCAATTTTCACCTGTCCTTCTATCAAAAGAACAGAAAGAAATTCTTTCCCATTCCAAATACGTTAATTAACAGACAGTTCAGTATTCCGGTAGCTGTATTGACTTGATAGAAATTTGAAAATAATCGTTGCCCCAAGATTTATGAACATTATTTTCCCATCAATTAATATTTTTGGGCAATGTAGCTAAAATACACTGATTTCAGCCAGTTTCTGTCTTTTGTATTTTGTTATTATCTCTGCACTAATTTACATTCAATATTCAAAATATTACTATTTTTATGCCATTCAATTTTAGATAAATATTTGAATATTGTGAGAAACATTCTCAGGTAAATTTTTAAATTAGGTGAAAAAGCAACTTTATTTTGGCATATATTTTGAATAAAACTATTAATTTTGAGAATGATCAGGCGCAGATTCCTTTTTTTCAACGAGTGGAAAAAAAAAAATTGTCCATGTGTATTAGATGTTTTTATCTTTTAAATGCTGTATTAAAAAGTCAAAAATGTTTAAGCGCACTATTTTCAAATGCTTTCACATTTATCAACTGCTTACTCGTCTTTAGAGTTTACCTGAGTATTTAAGCCCAGTGATTATACCCTTCTATATGGTAATTAATTTTTATTTGTTGAATTAGAGTATTTCTAGTCTATCATTTCGCTTTTCTTAATATTAATTAATAATACTTTTTTAGTCTTTAGTCTGATATTTTTAAAGCTTATAATTAATCACTAAGCTGACAGAACCTCAAAAGTTTCATTATTCCGTGCTTCTATTTCTTTTCATTAACTTGCAAAGCAGGTAACCAAATTTTAAATTTTAGGCTTTAAATGAATAAATTCTCGTAAGTCCGGGCATTTGATGTCTGTTATAAGCGAAGACTGTTATGCTGTGATCATCAAAGGGAAGTTGAAAATGAGTACATTTCATCAACGAAAACGATTTATTAGAAATGAAGTAGGTTAAAATAATGATTAGAAATAATAATTTTGGCCCTTAGTTGATGATTAGTAGCACTTTGATTAGTTCATGTATCTTCTTATTATTTTGCTTAAGAAAATTATGAAGTTTTTTTCTTTTCTAGGAGATTTATTCGCCATTTCTTTTATTGTGTTTTTCTATTACCATATTTGTTATCGAACAAATGTTGTTATCAGCTTAAAAGATTAAAGTCATATTTTTTAATAATATCGTTTTTGATATATAACGTCGCATTTAACTTTTTCCTTCTTCTTTTTGTTCTTCTCTTGGAAAAGGTTTGATTAATTTAAATTGTAAATATTAATACATATTTCTTTTATAAATCTTAATCTGTGTTTTGACGTAGCATTTTATTTTATGCAAGTCGAGTTATCTAATCCATAGTAATGTAATTTTTTTTTAATGAATAGCAATGAAAATTGCTTCATTGCTCAATAAAGTAGCTTGTAAATTTATAGAAGAGTTTGATTACATTTCGAAGAATATGTAGTAGATTGTTATTAATTTACTTTATAGGTATTAGTATAACTTTTCGCGTTACGAAACAAGATCCTGGGAAACATTTAGTGTTTGCTGAAATTTCTGGACTTGGCCGCTATTCAAATGAGCCGAAATTTTCGTTTGCGAGTTCATAGTATATCCGATGTTTCCAAAAGCATTTTTTAAGGGGCTAGTTTAATGGTGGAAAATTAGTATATTACTTCAATGGTACGAGTCCTAAATAGTTAAAATTTTGGTTCATCAAGTGACTTGACTGGAAGTTCGTATGATATTAAAGGGGTTCATTAGTTTTTGAATTAATCTGTAACACTACATAAAATCAAAATTCTGAATTTGTTAACTAATATTAAACATATATCATCTCTGTTACTGCACTGTCGTTGTTATTTTCTACCAACAAATGTTTGTCTAGGGCAGGCATATCAAACACACGGGGCTCATGCGGCCCTAGGTTCACCTCCAGAAAAATCACAAAACGTGCATAATATATTAATAAAAATTAAAATTTCATTCCATATCAAGGCATGTAAACAAGTTCGGGGGCCAAAAAGATTCTTCAGCTGATCTCTTCGCAAAACCGTCTTTGAGAAAGTGCCAATTTATTTGCAGAGGGTATCTTAACAGAAGTTCAGTGCTTCTCAGTTGTAAAGCAGAAATTCAGTGAATTATGTATCCCGAATTCTGCAAATATCTGCTTGTGTGGTTTCCAGAAAGCCGCTATATTTTTACATGATTTCCGTGTTCGGTAGTACGTATCAGTATGAACAGCTTTTCTTACTTAAGAAAGGGAACAAATCTCCAACTAAATCCAAGTTAACAGGCATTCATTTAACTTCTGAAAATCGCTGTAATGAGCAATATGTCTCCAGACATCTGTAAGTTAATTGCAAGAAAAAAAGATACCAGATGTCAAAAAAAACCATTTACTACCATGATTTCCTTGTGGTCATTCTATTTTTTAAAGAACTATAGGTATCATGTTATGCATTTACTCACTTTTGAAATACATCATTTAAGTGGGAAAATATCTTTTCCTCCCCTTCCCTTGCGGCGCTCACAGTATTCTAAAATGATAATAATTTGGCCCACTTAAAGTAGTGAGTTTGACATGCCTGCTCTAGAAACTAGGTGTTAGTTTCTTTCGAATAGTGCCTATATGTAAAAACAGCCGTTTACAATCCAGCAAATTTATATACGTAAACTCGTCGTAAAGGAAATATTCCTAAGCATTTATTGTACTGATAGTAAATTTATCAGCCTAAATTCTGCAACTTAAGATCTCGAATATGCTATTTTTGAACGTATAAGTTGGATTAAAATCGTTGGGATACATAACATAATTATACAAAATGCGTGTGGTAAAACTCATGAGGATGGCAATCCATGTCTTGCTGATTTTTTGCCACTTAGCAGATCATTTATACGTACGGATAAATAACTGTACATTTTGATTTCATCTATATAGATATCTTCAATTCCAATAGACTGGCATTTTGATTTCATCTATATAGATATCTTCAATTCCAATAGACTGGCGCATGCTCTCTGTGCCTAGCTCTCCCCGTTGTGTATAAGAGCCTACATTAGCTCTGACGTATAAATGATTGTGCCAGCCTTAGAACCTTCTAGCATGTATTGTTAAAACACTGCATCTTGGAGATGGCTTATTTTTTAGGTCAACCCTCTCTCTTCAATGCTTTTATGCGCGGGGGGGGGAGTGAGAATGAAGATGATGAAAAAAGGGAATAAGTGTTTGAAATTGGATCTTATCCCCTTCCTTTTTCCTTTTCCTCTGTCACCCCCATCTCATCTCTCTTTCTTGCTCTCCCCTCCTCTTTCCAGAAATGGTAATTTTTTTTCCCGCTATGAGAAGGAGGGGAAGACGTGTTACTTTCTACTTAACACGGCTCTGCTCAACTTTTTTACAACCCTCTGAGTCACGCGACGCAATTTTTTATTTCTTTTTTTTTATATATATAAAAAAGAAGCTACTACTATTACATTTGTGACTCTTAAGCGA